GTGAATTTATAGGGAGGAAACAAGGAGAATCAATATTCCAATCTCAGATTCCTCCCTCTCTCTGATATCTTACTAGAGTTTCCCTTTGGCCAAACCCAGACAGAAGCCAGCGCCTAGACAGCTACTGGGGCAGTGCTGTGAGCAGAGCAGGTAGGAAAAGATGGTCATTCTTGAGGGGGAAACTGAAGGTGTGCAGCCACATGCCTTCATCTAAGCTGGAGAAGGCTCCGAACTCATTACCAGTACCGTCTGCCGGACCGCCATGACAATTTCTGGCACAAGGATATCAAGGGAAACAAAATATTCTGCTGAGACAAGATGTATGTTAGGGGGTTTTTTGGACCATGTAAGTCTATCTAAACTTGAAATGATTTCAGGAAGGAGAAATGTGTTTTGTATCCATCTTTTCGCTCCCATTACCACTAAATGCAATTTCCAAAGGAAATTAAGGTTTAATAAACTCTAGTCTTTCTTATTTCTGTCTTTTATGTTACTCTTACAAATAGATGCATTATGTTTTAAAAAGCTGGTGATTCACGTAGGGTTTCTGATGGCCTTTGGATTCTCTGGTAGATGTTTCACAACTGATCTAACTCATAGGAAGAAAACATTTCTTACGGGGTAGAGAAACACACAAGAATGCATATGCATTCTTACACTCTCATCCTTTTTATGAGAATGATTAATCTCCCTAACTGTATCATGTGTATGGGCAGTGAGATACGGCATTCTCTTTAGCAACTACAACTGGTTGATATGGACATTAACATTTCATCATAGTGTCAGGGTCATATGCTGCCCACCAACACTGGGTGGCTGGCATCATTTTACTACAGTATATGTCCAGGTGGTTTAGGGCAGGTTTCAGTCCAAGAAATGAGACCGTATTTCCTACCCCAGTGGGGAAAGGTAGGAAACACTCATTAAATCCATGGAAAGTGCGTTTAAGTAAATTATCTCCCAAAGATTATTGAGAAGAACCAGGATCCATCCCCCGTGCCAGGCAGCTGCTAGAAGGCAGGTCCAACGGCAAGTGTAGATGAAAGTGTGGTCCAGCAGGCAGTCTACCAACGTCTAAAAATACGGCACAAATATAAAAGCTTAAATGTATGCAGGTATAAAAGCTTTTATGTAAATAACTTTATTACTCTGTTTATAAAGGGAGAGTATAGCAACTAGTACATCTTTTTTCTTCATTTCCCACTTCTCCCCTGCCACCTTCATGTGCTTTCCCTTTACCTGCCTGCATTGCTGACACTCACCCCTGACCTCTCCCGCACACACACACTATCCTCTGTATTAGCAACCTGGTGTGAATCTTTTTGTTCCTTTTTACATTCTATCTTGTCTTCAATCAGACTTTTCTGAATGTGCTAAAAGGGACAGTCTATTTGAAATTCTGGTCAACAACTAAAGGAAAGATCAAGGAAAGTAATTTACAGCCTCCCATTCTATAAATCTCAAATCAAGTGAGCTTCGGCTAACATTATGAGGCATGTGGATTTGACTGCTGAATCCTGAAATGCTCTATTCTAAATGGCGCACTGCAGCAGGTTTCCCTCCTTGTGTTCACTTTTTCCAGCCAGGCCTGGGAATATTTCAAAACTAGGGGCTGGAGAGCCACCTGTATGTCCCTGCTGGCAGCCTGAAGCCCCTCACTCCCGCAGCACCCCTCGTCATGCTGTGTAGGTGCCCTGTGATGGGGACACTGTTGGCTGTGTCTCCCAGGACACCCCGCCTTTATGTAGAGGGGAGGGATTTTCTTCAGCCAGCTGCCTCTGCCCGGTGCTCGCCCCTCCAGAGGCAGCTGCACCATCATCGAGGTTGCCATCAGGCTGATGCTACTCTCTTAGGCCTCGGTGCCCAGGGGGCAGATGAGCTCATGGAATCTGGAGCCCACGAGAACAGTAGCACTAAGTCGGATTCACAAGGGGCTGCACCTGTCAAGTTGCAACTCTAGGCTCCTTTTGTACCTTGAGCCTATTTGTATGTTGCATTTATCATCAGGTATTATAATTATTAAATCCATCTGCCTTAGAAGGCTGGGGCTGTGGCTTAAAAACTTTTGAATGTCCTTTTCCCTGCACAGCACTGGGAATATGTCCAATGCAGCCCGACTGGATCAACACACTCAACTCTAGGAGGGTGTTGAATCACTGGCATTCTTTGGGCCCTTAAACATCAGAAGCTGAAGGAAGTGGATAAGCGCAACAAAGATTCAAACGGAAAGAAGTGAGCTCCCCAACACGCCGTTGTCCAGTGTGCCTTGGCTATTGGGTCAGAAAGGGAGAGGATGAAGGTTTTTTTTTTTCTTTTTAAGCACTAAAAGTTCATTTCCCCTCTGTACTTGGCACTGGAGAACTTCATATTTATAAGGCACTACTTACTGTGCAGAATGGCAGGAGAGAGGAAGGAGATACCTGGACAGTAGGTTAGAGCACGGAGAGAGGGACCGCTCAGGCCCCACCACTCACTCCCCTGCTTAACCTCCCAGCGATATCCACTCCCCTGGAAATGGGACCCACACCCTTACCCACGGTGTGTCCAGCTCCTCAGCCTCTTCCCCCATCTCCCTGCACACTGTCCCACACCTCACACCTGCTCATAGACATTCTTTTCGTCCTTAAAGACAGCAAGTCCTTGCTAACTCCAGGGACCTTGCCCTGAGCTCAGAGGAGCCCTTTCTTGATCATGCAGCCCTCAACTAACTGCTCCCTCTTCTGGCCAAAATCCTCCTAACACTCTCTCCTCAGTCACTTCCCAGGCCACCACCAGGGCGTGGTTTCTTCACAAACTATCTTACTGCAAAGATGTCTTGTTGACTTCCGATCGCTGTCTGTTCCCCTCACCTTTCCCTCTGTCCTCCCCAGTGCATGAGAGGAGCGGCCTTCCTGAAAGCAGGAAGCTTCATCTGGCTCGGCCACTATTGGTCTCGGTGCCCAGGACATGGCCCCGAGGCTGTCACCTACTGGACACTCATCAAGTATGGACTTGCTCAGGGGAAAACAAGAAAGATTCGCCAAGAAGTGTTCTAGATGAGAAATACCTCAACCAGGGAAGGCAGTTAGGTCTAGCACCAGGACTTTGGGCTGTTGGAACAGACCGTAAGATGAGGCATGGAAGAGGGGTTGGAGGAGCCCAATGACCCAGGAACTCGTTTTGCCAGGAATAGGAGTCAAGAGCTAGAAACCAGAGCTCAAAGCCAGTGCCATTCCTCACCATGTGTGCAAACCAGGCAGTGACCTCACCTTCCTGTGCCTCCATTTCCCCATTTGCAAAAAGAGGCAAAACGCTCTTCTTTAGGCTAGGGTGAAAACTGAGTGAGTTGTTACACGGCAAATGCCCGGCAGCACCTGGCACATGGCTAACGTTTGTGCTGCGCATGACCGGAATCAGGGGAGGTTTGCTGAACATGGTATGGACTCTGGTTTGTGTTTTAGGAAGATTATAAGGCTGCAGGACAGAGAATCAGCTGGAGGGGGCTGAGAGAGCCGTGAAGGAAAGAACTGTTTGGGGAAGCTGGACCAAGACAAGGAGGGGCCATGAGGATGAGCTCAGAGTTAGGAAAGCAGTGACTTGTTTGCTGTGGGGAAGGTCAGGAAACAGCTGGTGGTGCCCTTGGCCCTTACAGGAGATACAGGAGGGGCCCAGGTTTTGGAGGAGAAGCAAGCTGTCTGCTATTATATTTAAGAATTTTATACCCAGCCCATTAGTAAGACAGACTCTCCAAAAGAACATGAGAGAAATTTACACATGCTGTTTTTGTTGCTGTCGTTGTTTATTTGTTTTCTGACAGCATCTCACTATGTAGTTCAGGCTGACCTTGAACTATGTAGCCCATGCTGGCCCGGAACTTGCAGAGATTCTCCTGTCACAGCCTCCCTCCCGAGTGCTGGGATTACAGGCACGCATCACACGTATTGTTGAACCCATTTCCCACATGTGTCATAGAATACTAGGAATCTTGCCAGTTCTTTATTTATTTTGTGTCTATTTCCTTATGCACCATCCACAGATCATGCTATAAAGCTATTTGGTCAGAAATTTGATAGAGGTTGGGACCCAATCTATGTAGCTACAAATTTCTCTAGAAAGAGGTAAAGAGAGCCACCTAAACTTTCTAAAATCAGCTGTTTAATCCAGTTCCCTTAGGGTCTTAGAATTATAGATCCAGGGCAAAATGCTCCAGTACTGGAACCCAGCTAGTATGTGTATTTGTCAGAACTCCGGGCTCTAGGGGAAAACCAGGGTCTCGGTCAAACAACTTTTATATCTTCCTTCCCTTTAATATTCACAATAAAAAGTCAACTGACTTAGCACTTCCCAAACTCATTTGGCCATGTGTAGTAGCTGTTCACACCCCGCATTTAGGAAGAGTCCAGTCTCTTCACAAATGTCCAGAAAACTCAGCCACTCATCATCGATAACAGAGCCAGCAGTGACCGAACCACGATGGCCCCCACGAAGGGTTAATAGGCTCCCTCAGAATCGCTGCATCCCTGTATTGACAGCAAGAGCCGCAAATGGATTTTCAAAACTATTTTTCCCGTGGAATTTATTTAAAGAATTGCTTCTAAAGTATCTGGGTCCTAGTTTAATTTAGAGAGATGTATCCCTCAGCAGATGGAAAACGTGCCAATTGGCCCGTTCAATTTAGTAGTACTCTTTATTCATATACATCAGAAATGGAGCATGAATAGTATGCGTGATGGAGAACAAGGCGTTCGGGAGACTCGTGGCCTGAGGCGTGCGGGAGGACGCCAACAAGCAATTAAACAAGAAGATATGTAATTAAAAATTATGATACACGTGCGATGAGGAACATGAGCTGCGTGTGTCAGGTCGGGCTCAAATTTGCAATCATTTTTTAACTGACCCAGATTCAGTTGGAATCAATAGCAGTTTTGTTGTTTTGTTTTTTTTTTACGGGCATGGTGGCGCTCAGCTCTTACCTACTGTCCGAACCTCCTCTAACAGCCTCTCCCCATCCTGTTTTTCAGGCCCAGCGCAGGAAAATGAGAGCGCAGTAAGCCGGCGCCGCCTCTCGCCCAGCCTTCTCCCACGCCCACCATGAACCACTCGGAGGGCTCCGCGGAGGTGGAGGTGCCCGACGAGGCGGCAGGCGGGGAGGTGAACGAGTCGGTGGAGGCCGACCTGGAGCGCCCCGAGGTGGAGGAGGAGCAGCAGGCCCCGCGGCCGCAGCACTACCCGGGCCGGCCCCCGCGCGGGCGCGCCGTCGAGGACCTGCGGGGCGCGCAGCCCGGGCAGCAGGAGGACGAGGAGCGCGGGGAGAGCCTGGCGCGCTCGGCCAGCACGGAGAGCGGCTTCCACAACCACACCGACACGGCCGAGGGCGACGTGATCGCCGCGGCCCGCGACGGCTACGATGCGGAGCGCGCGCAGGACGCGGAGGACGAGAGCGCGTACGCCGTGCAGTACCGGCCCGAGGCGGAGGAGTACACGGAGCAGGCGGAGGCCGAGCACGCCGAGGCCGCGCACCGCCGCGCGCTGCCCAACCACCTGCACTTCCACTCGCTGGAGCACGAGGAGGCCATGAACGCGGCCTACTCCGGCTACGTCTACACGCACCGCCTGTTCCACCGCGGCGAGGACGAGCCCTACGCCGAGCCCTACGCCGACTACGGCGGGCTGCAGGAGCACGTGTACGAGGAGATCGGGGACGCGCCCGAGCTGGACGCGCGCGACGGCCTGCGGCTGTACGAGCACGAGCGGGACGAGGCGGCCGCCTACCGCCAGGAGGCCCTGGGCGCGCGGCTGCACCACTACGACGAGCGCTCGGACGGCGAGTCCGACAGCCCCGAGAAGGAGGCCGAGTTCGCGCCCTACCCGCGCATGGACAGCTACGAGCAGGAGGAGGACATCGACCAGATCGTGGCGGAGGTCAAGCAGAGCATGAGCTCGCAGAGCCTGGACAAGGCGGCCGAGGACATGCCCGAGGCGGAGCAGGACCTGGAGCGTGCCCCCACCCCGGGCGAGGGCCGCCCCGATAGCCCAGGGCTGCAGCCGCCGGTGGGGCAGCCTCGATCGGCCTGCCCCGCGGGCGGCGGCGAAGGAGGACAGCGGTACAGCAAGGAGAAGAGGGATGCCATCTCGCTGGCCATCAAGGACATCAAGGAGGCCATCGAAGAGGTGAAAACCAGGACCATCCGTTCGCCTTACACCCCCGACGAGCCCAAAGAGCCCATCTGGGTCATGCGCCAAGACATTAGCCCCACCAGGGACTGTGACGACCAGAGGCCAGGGGATGGAGATGTAAGTGTGGGCGCGTTCCGGCTGGCGCAGCACCACGCGTGGCGTCGCGAAGGGGGTGGGGGGAGTTAAGTGGCCCCGCGTGTCACTGGCGAAGGATTTTATGGGATAAAGGAAACACGGGAGCGCTAAGAACTTTCCCACCATAAGCCTCAGAAACTGCGCACAAGCCCCATCAGTGACACACCACCTGGAGAAAGTTAAAGAGCGTCAAATGCACTTGTTAGACTCGTGGAGGGATCGCTGTAAATCAGTGATTCCCAAAATGTGCCTGGAGAGCTTATTGAGAGTCAGTTTTTGAGGCACAAGGCCTCCTGCCAACTAGTTGCTAATTCAGAAGATCTGGTGTAGGGGCCAAGAATTTGCATGTTTTTAATTTTTATTAGTACATGTTTGCAGTACATCATGATTACATTCGTCATCGTGGGAGAGTTGGTATATGTACTAGCACATCTTAATTTTTTTTTACTTCATTTGTTTGGCCATTATAAATGGCAAAAGTCAAGTCAGGGTTGAGAGACATTATAGGAAAAGACGATCTCACCGGGGAAGAAAGGTACTATTTCACTAGGGGGAGAGCATTGTTGCGGTAGGAGACCTCCTAGCCAGAAGATCAGAAGGGCTTTCTGTGGGAAGGAATTAGGGGGTGTAACTAAGGTTATAGAGAACAAGGTGTGAGAAGTGGGTCGGAAGAGTGGCTTAATGTAATGTAGATCCAAAATAAAGTTTTAACCAGAGACCAGCCTATCTTGAGGAAGGGCTGTCTGTCAGTGGTGGCGGCGAACCTGTGGCACATGTGTTGTTTTTAAAACAAAAGATTTTGATGTCTGAGTCGTTTTTTTCTAAACTAAACCTCAATATTCAGGTTTCATGGCAGTGTTGACACTTCGTGATAAGTGGGTTTGGGGTTGCAGTTTGGGCCCTCATCCCTGAAAGGTTCACCCTCGCTGAACTATATGCTGGTCAAAGGTTAGACGCCTTGGGCAAAGGGAGAAGCTACATGAAGTTAGGTTAACGAGCATTTTGTTCTGGCTAACAGCAGGTCTGCTAATCATTTATCAGGCAAAGAGTGGAAATTTGGAAGGGCTGCGTCTGGTTTTATAAGTAAACAGGGCATCTGAGAGTCTTAGGGCAGTCCGTTAGGGAAGAGGGCCTCTTTGCAGTCAGCGCCTTCCCAGGAAGCATAAGGGTGGGGAATTTCTTAACTGTTCCCATTTCTAGAATGGCAGGGCCCAGATAGAGGTCACTGTGGCTACTAACAAGTTCCCCGGTGATGCTGCTGGTCCCAGCACCACAGTTGGAGAACCACTTTAAAGCTCTCCCTTAAAAATTTGGGACAGGTGTTGTGGATTCTTTGGAGGAATTATCGGAAACTCTTCTGAGTCCTGTCCGTCCAGGGTTTCTGTGGTTTTTTTCACCTACCTTATTGCTCATTATGGATTTCAGTAAGTTCTTAGTTTTCATTTTCTTTTGGTACCAGGGCAGCCTCCCCACCAAATTGTGCTTCGGTGTGAAAACTATTGCTGCGTTTGTTGGCATTTTATTTTCCCTTTTTGATGGTACTGGGGATTGAATCCAAGTCCTTCACACCGAGCTACGGTTATTTTCCATGTCTGAAATACCTACAAAATCTGATACCTTAGCGAGCGTGGGGAAGCGGGGGATCACAATCTGTTCAGACTAAATCAAGAAGACTAACCTTTGCCCCTCTACCTTGCTATAAACATTCTTTCTGCCCCAGTTCTCACTTTTCCATTCTTGTGAGTAATTTTTAAACAATTTCATTTAAAATTGGAGCTTGGTGTCAAAGAAGGGTCAAGAGGTTAAACTCCACTGAATTCTGTATTTTGGATTGTACCAGGCTGTTTCTCACTGTATCTTTTTGAGTGAGAGGCCATTATTGGAAGGTGCTTGTGCATTTTACTAATAGGTGAAGGGCTGTGCAGGTCAAAGCAGTACCATTTACTTCCTGTTTAGTAACAGTCAGCATTTGCTGTGGGCTAATTAAATTTGTAACACCTTTTCGGGGAAGGGTGGACACAGGTCCGGAAGACAAGTGCATCCTCCCCAGCAAGGGGGCAGCATTGGGTCAGTTAGTCCAGGTATTCCCTGGCATCTGTAGAAACAGGTGCACGCAGGTGGAACATTCCCCTTGATTTCCAGCTGTCTCTTAAGTTTCTGATAGCCAGGAGGGATTGAAGCAAGCATTTTGCAAATGAGGTGGAAATAGAGCAGATTTTTCAAGAGTAGGGGGCTGGCAGGAGGCTGGGTGGCACGTCTTTTAGAAATTTGGAAAGCCATCTTGAGAAGTTGCAGAAGCAATTGGTCCAGGTGCTAGTCTCTTCTGATAGCCTCCTCCTTTGAAGCCAGCTCTGTGAGATGACCCACTTACCTGTGTGATCCTTGGAACTTCACTCGAGCTACAGGCACAGCCCATGGTTGGGCCCAGGGTGCCTTTCATTTATTTGAACTAGGACGGCATAATCCTCTTGCGTGGTATTTCATTCCAAATGTAGAATTAATTATAACTGCTTTAGGAACCTATACCATCAGAAATTCAGCTTGATGCTAGAAATTGGTTAGTAGGGCTTGCTGGGTAATGAATAGTTCATATAAACCCAAAACTCGTACTTCAAAATATCCCCCAATCACGTTTAAACCACTTGAATCTGTGCAATATATTTCATCCGCTATGCAATATTTATAAGACACACCTTCATCTGGTACCACTTTGATGGTGTGATTCCACGTTAGCATCAAACACTCATTCCACGCATAGTGTTGTAGAAAACACAGTCACCGTAAAGAGCAGTATGATGGGAAGATTGGAGCCTTGTTTAAAATACATTGCTGTCCTCCTTTCCCAACGCTGAGTGCCTGAGATGGAGCCCCGTGATGTGGTGTTTTGTTTTGTTTTATTTTGTAAATTCTCCGTGAAATTCTGAAGCATGTAAAGGTTAACAACCACTGATTTGTTGGGGGCTGGGGCTTCTGAGCAGCTTTCTCATGTAAGATATGTGGACTTGAAAAATCCTTACTAGCAACCATGCAGTGCTAACAAAAGGAGCTGCCCCATGAGTCTGGCCCGCAGACCTGGAGAGGTGGCCCTGAATTCTTATACTAAGGAGGTGTGTTCTCAAAATGTCAATACCAGAAACTGCAGTGGAGCGATAGAAGAAAACTAACACTGCCTTACCACTCACCAGAGATAATTGCTAAGAGATCAGTCTGCTTTTAACTCTTCTAAACTTGAGCACTTTTGTGGCACAAACTAGTTGTTGTTTGCTGGTAAATTGTGCAGAATAGGACAGGATTGTTCATCTGCAAGAATTTACTGAACTCACATGCTCAGTGCTGAATAAAAATAATTGTTTTCTTAAAAAAAAAATGTGCTTCTAGTAAGCCACTTGTGTTCTAGGTATAGGTTTGAGAGCTATCTTCTAGCTCCTTTCTTAAGACATATTGACAGTGACTGGCCTGTTCTGAAAAGCTCTATACCTACTGATGTCTCTTGAGGTGACAGTCATTCTGAGTAGAGAGCCCTCATGGTAGGACAGAGTCAGAGATTGGGGGGAGCAGGCATGCTGTGTATATTGGAGGATTGGGGCTGCTTTGAGTGGTATGTTATGCAGCCTGAAATGGTGCTTATATCTACTCCCTCCTAAAACTACGTTAAGAGATAGAAAGTGATAAAAAAAAATCTAGAAAGACAAGAAAGAATAGATCATAATAAAATGTTTAAAATTTTGGTAATGCTAGACAGAGTTTTCCCAGTGTTACTGGTTCTCCTCTCCTTTCGTATATAAAGAGGACTACACTTCCTTGTCCTCTAGAAACATGTAGGGAGCAAGGCCAGTGAAATGTGAGCCCTGACTTGTATGTTCCATGTAGGAACAGCTCACATCCCACTTCCTTCCTAGTGGCAGTATACTCGGAAGCTTGTGTTAAGATGGGCTGTCACAGTGTGGTGGAGGCACACAATATGATGGGGGAACACAGCATGGTAGGGGCATCTCTGTCAGCACGGCGCAGGTCTATGTGACCACAGTGAGCTGACCCATGTGGGGCTGGTGATTTGTTATAACAACAGAACTTGGTCAGTCATGACTAATACACTGATGAGGCCTCTGTGTCCTCTGTTCTCCCAAGTGTTTGTGAGGATTTGTACTATAGACTCCCCAGAAAATCTCAGGAATATGAGGCACCAGACAGCTCAGGTGACAGGAGTGTGGTACTGTAGCTAGAGAAAGAAGAGGATCATTTGAAAGGTAAGCACAGGAGATGCGAGACTGCTGAATGCATTCTCCAGCCCGTGTGGCTAGTTGACTCCTTCCTGCAGAAGATGGGTGTGTCTTCTGTAAAAGGGGGAAAGAAGGGCACATGACCCTGGTGACACCAGCACAGCTGAGAGTGGGTACAGGGTGCCTTGGGGGAATGCAGTAACTGCTGTACAGTGATAATGCCTTAGACTTTTAGTTGTCAGGGTGTCAGCCCACCTGCCCAGAGCCCTCACTTCCCAGCAGATTAGAGTATTGTATTCCTCTCCCGGGAAACAGAAAGGAAGGTACCTGGAGATGCTGATGCTGATGTGGGGGTTTCCTGGTACAGTTGAGTCCACACCATATAATCCCACAGGAAAGGCTCCTGCCACTCAGGAATCCTCCATTAGGCTTCTTTGGGACCCACTCTTAAATATGGACAGCCAAGGACCATGAAACATGTGAAAACTCGCTCTAACATGAAAGACAAAACGTGAAAAGAACAAATGGAAAAAAGCACTTGGAGATACAAAGGCAGGGCTCAGAACAAGGGAAGATCATAAAACATTTATAATCAGTATGCTCAGAGAGGTGGGAGAAGACAGGGAAGACATGAAATTAGAGGAGGGTGCCATTTTTCAAAATTCTTAAAATGACAGCTCCTTAAATATATGGCTGTACCAATTTAAAATTCAAAAGAGAAAAAACTTCAGTAGAAAGGTAAGAACAAAAGGTTGAATCATT